AACGAGTCGGCGGACATGGAGGTCGACAACATCAACATTCGCAAAGCCCGGAAGAAGGACCGCAGCAAGTTGCGCTGCTTCAATTGCCAAGGTTTTGGGCACTTTGCGGCTGCGTGCCAAAAGCCGAAGAAGAAGATCTCGGGTGATGGACCTCCAGGCAAGCAAAACAACCTAGAAGTCGAAGAAGCACCAAGCGACCAAGATGTGGAGTACATCACGTTTGGCGCCATGGAAGAAAACGGTGCTGAAGGCGTTGCGGTGTCGAAAGCGCAAGTCGGACGAAGTCAGGAGAGTGGCAGAGCGCCATTAATGATTAAGTCTGGCATAATAAATGGAAAAGTCGTGAACATTCTTATTGACTCGGGAGCAACGAATTCGCTTTGTCGAGTCGGGTTGGGCAAAAATGTCATTCGCTCCAAGGCTGTTCGCATCTCGGGCTACGATGGACTGATGTCACCACTGACAGAGACGCGCGAATTGAAGGAAACGGTGCAGATTGGCACGTTCACGTTTCATGATACGCAGCTCACGGAATGGGACTTGAAGGACAAAGCGTTTGACGTCATCCTAGGCCAACCATGGTTCAAGAAGCACAATCCAGTAATCGATTGGCGCAAGCATGATGGATGGTCGGTCCACTTACAATGGGGAGGCTCCATTCCTCGCATTTCCGAATACATTTAATTAGTTTGGCTTCTAGCTTTAGTGTGGGGGTTGCTGCTTGGATTTATGTGTTGGGTGAATGCCCTCGACGTCCACCATGGAGTTGAGCCACGCTGGCATAGTTCACTTAACCCATTGGCGCAACTTAATCCCTTTGACATGCAGTATTCCACTTGAGCCTTCTTATGCTCAATTGTCAGCCGGATCCTCGACGCTGGTGACGGCATTTGTTCGTCAGGTGGTTTGTGTCTGTTTTGAATTTTGAAACGCCTCTACAATTTTATTGCTGATTACCTCAAAAATGTTATTAGGTTTTGTGGGATATAATGTTTTAGTGGGTTCACTATTGCGGGGGAGTGTATCCGGATGGCATAATTACCTCATTGACATTGAAACAGTAGAGTGATTTTGCTACGTGATATTTCCTGTAAAGTTTCACAATGGAGCCTTTCGATCTGATTATATTGCGAAATTCTTGATGAATACTTCTACTACGTAGTACTTCGAAGTATATTCTGTCAGAATTTCTGACTGGGAATATCTATCTTTTCACACACAGTAGCCAATCAAAACACTTGAACATGCTAACTGTAAATTACCACTTTTGCTATAGGGAAAATTCATATTTAAGGAGAACTACTGCTATGCTTGTTGTTGCGGCTCTTCTGGAGCACCAACCGGTAATGCACGCTTCCCAATCTTTTATGCAATATCAACAACCCAGTGCTGTAGGTGCAATGTGTGCAACACGACCACTTTGAGGTGGTCGATGAACACAGGGATAGGATGTATCTCTGGGCTAGTGTTTCCTTTGGGGACCATCCCACCGCTTGCCTACGTTTTCCTCGCCGACTTACTAAAGTACAGCTCATCTACGTTTGGTGCCAACCATGCCGTTCATATCCATGATAACGTAAAAAACCAATTTAAGATAACTTTTTTGGAGGCGTCGGAGTAGAATGGACACAACATTTGAGTCCGTTACGATATTTGAGTTTTGAATAGTGATTCCAATAGACAAGACGCTCCGCTTTCAGTTCATAATCGAATTATCAGTTTAGACGAAGAACATCACAGGTAAATTTGTTACTTTCTAAGCATTTGTACTCACATTTTGATAACCAATTTAGGATAACACTTTTTATCTTAAAGTATGTGTGTGTCGGAGCATTGAAATTGTGTGTTTAGAGTAAGCGGCTACAACAGGTTGTATATAATTTATACTAGGGTACTGTTTTATAGAGTTATATATCTGTTGTCGAAGGATGTCCACCGAGTTTAACACTCGATAAAACCTCAGATCCAACCCAATGTGGCCCGTGTCGACTAGGGTACTTCAAACCCAATCTTGAATGATTGTTACCAATGGTTACTACGCCGTTTTTGCATTTCACTCACCTGACGGAATGGTCAGCATTATATGACAGAGGTTTTGACTCGAACAAATAACGAGGTATGATTGGTCAATACAAAGTTATCCTAAATTGGTTAAGTTATCTTAAACTGGTTTTTTACGTTATGGTAGAATAATGGGTCACCTCCGACCTCACTTGTTATTTGTATGACATTAATTTAGCGAATCACATAATTCTATTCCTGTTCTAGCCAATCATGTCACTCTTAGGTTAATTTCCAACCAATAAAAGTGTTAGGGTTAGGGTAGGGTTAGGTTGGTCACCCAGGTTTGTGTCGTATTCGACACCTGTGATTTCCCTGACAAGCACCCAAACTACACCATTTTGCGTTTAATTTCAGCTCTTTTTCAAAATATTTCCACTTAACTCCGATATATTCACCGAATCGCCAATATAATTCACCCAACCTCCTTTATATTTCAAGCCGAATTGAAATTTGGCCATTATATTTCACCCAACATCCGATATAATTCACCCAACTAACGCTGCTTAATTTCACTCTTTCGAAAATATATTTCACCTGACCACCGGTATACTCCGGTACGTCTCTCTGTTGACCGCTAACGACGTGTCAAGACGCTTCGTTCTTAAAACTAGGGCCGTACTCCCCGATGTTGAACCCGATCGAGAATATGTGGCCAGCGTTGAAGAGCCGCATTAAGACATCTTTGCGCGAACGAGTCGCGGCCTTTATGGGGCCACCGCCAGACGGACAGACTTAAAAGATGTAACTCAACAATGAATTAGGAATTGAGCCGAATCGTTTGCATGTGTGCACGGCCCGCCTTGAGCCGTTTTATGTCCGTGCTGAGAACATGGAAGACATGGACGTTAGTGCTTGAGCCGTAGATGTCGTAGATATGTTGCGTGGGTTGGTTTTAATTTACTTTCCATGAAATATTTGTGGTGCAGGGATGGCTTCTTCCATACAGCGCAGATTCAAAAATGCTTCGATCTTTCTAGAATCCCAGCCCGAATTATAACAACTGTTAGGTGAATTCTATTTTCGAAAGTTGGAATTAACCTAGGTTGGGTGAATTATAACAGAGGTTGGGTGAAATATATCGCCGATATTTTACATCGGCGTGAAATATATTGGAGGTTGGGTGAATTATATTGGGGATTCGGTGAAATATATCGTGGGTTGGTGGAAATATATTGAAAATAAGCTGGAATTAAACGCAAAATGGTGTATTAATATCCATGATGAGCAATTAACAATTTTAGGTTATCTGCGGGGTAGGGCAAAGAATTTCCCTTTTTTAAGTCGAATGTCCAGAGATTGGGCATGGTTAGCGTGTGTAACGTATTCAGTTCAAGCAGTCTAATCTATTGGAGGCTTTCTAGTAAAAAGATACCGCGATGTGATTGGCTCAATGGGAGTGATCATAAATTGGTACAGTGATCAGATCATAAATTGGTCATTTACGTTAGTACTGGCTGTGCTCACAATAGAGCCGGCTACAAAGAAGAAATATATCGGGGGAATTGTACTTGAACCACTGGGGATACTGTACACATCATGGTACCGTACTTTACAGAAGGCCAGTACAATTCCCACATTAAAACAGTTCCACTGTTGTTTTGACCCGAAATACTGTTTCAATGGGATTTATAAGGAACTTTGTATGCTCGGACCACCTCACCTCTTACTAGGGGTTAAGTGCATATCAGTGGTTACCGATGCAGTTGACCCCAGAGATTTAGCATCATATGTACTCACCGAGGGTGGGACGGAGTCCCAGGTTGCAGGGCTACTGGCGACAAGGTGTATCCGGATGTAATAGTTCCCTCATTGTGAAACAATATTTCGGGTCAAAACAACAGTGGAACTGTTTGAATGAGGGAATTATTGAGCAGATACCTCATGGGTATACCATACAGTATTGCGTGGATACAGTACCAGTAGCTTGGTCGCTTGGTCATTCTTCAATATGCCAGCCATGGTCAAGATCATTGTGTCTGTCTTGTCCGCCGGTGTCGCGTCTGCTTTCGGCACCATCTCCGAGTTTCCGACAGAGATGACCAGTCTTATGGATCAAACCGTGGATCCGTGCACCGACTTCTATTCGTATTCGTGCGGGACGTGGTACAATAAGACCACCCTCCACAGCAACGCCGTTATCAATATGTTCACCGTGACTGCGGCTGCGTCGGACAAGGTGATCGAAAAGTTGTTAAGCGCCAAGCTGCCCAAACTCGCCGAGTTCTGCTGGGCTCGTACTATCTCAAGGAAGTGTGGACGGACGAAATCGCCGCGCCCGCTGACTTGCTCGTGCTGAAGCTGAAAGCGTCCTTCAAGATCGGGCTGGATAGTGTGGGGTGGCTCGATAACACAACTCGGGCCAACGTTACGACCAAGTTGTCCAAGCTTACCCACCTCTTGGGGGGAGCCTAAGAACCGCAAGACGTACTCCACCTTGACGTTTGACCCCAAGGCTTACATTGCCAACCTGAACAAGGTATCTGCGTTCGATACTGCGTTCAACCTAGCTCAGATCAACACTGCCGTGGACAAGCAGATTTGGGAGACTACTGCGCACGACGTGAATGCGTGGAACCAGAGGGCGACAAACACGCTCGTGTTTCCCGCCGCCATCTTGCAGCCCCCGTTCTACTATGCCATGGCGGACCCGTCGGTGAACTATGCTGCCATTGGCAGTACCATCGGCCACGAAATCACCCACGGCTTCGACCACAACGGTGCCCTCGTTATCGACAGCGACGGCAACCTCAATCGGTTGTGGTCGGCAACCGTGACGAATACTTTCAACGAAAAAGCCAAGTGCTTCATCGAGCAGTATGGGTCCATGGAAGTCAAGAACGAGCTCACGGGTGATTTGCTCGGCAAGTTGGACGGCAAATTGACATTGCGGGAAACCATCGCCGACAATGGGGGCCTCAACACGGCATACCGGGCGTACCGGGACTACGTGCACGCTGAGGCCGAAGCCACCAAGTACACCAAGGAAACAGGCGAAAAGACGTTTTGGATCTCGCACGCCCAATTGCGGTGCGCAAAGAACAGCGACGAGTACCTCCAGTTTCTGCTCACCGACGAACACCCCCCTGGTCGCCACCGCTTGATCGGGGCAGTTCAAAACTCGGTCGATTTTGCCAAAGTGTTCAACGCACCCATGAACCCGACCAAGAAATGTGTTTTGTGGGGAATAGATACACATACTCAATGTAATACTTCGAAGTGATGTAAATCAAGTGGTGGTTTTGGTCACAACAAAATCGTCGTAATCACAACCTTTGCAGTTCAAATCACACCAAGTAGATTTGAGATTCGGTACAAATTTCCGGACCCTGTTCAATCGAATCTCGCCGACCTAATCGGGCACCAATCTCTTCCGTTGGTCAATCCGAAATCTCTTGTCGCTGATTAGCTACTATGTAGTTCAATCCATTTTCGATTTTGTACCAGAAAGGGTGGATATTTGCCAATGAGATGTCTCTGCTCTATTTGTGCTGGATTGACAGTGAACTTTGAAACAAACACACATACCTTATTGTACAGTACCTGCGTACAGTCAGAATTGCATACCAATTTCATACGCTTTTGGCACAGTCTCCTCGTGTCTTCATCGTTCATCGTTTACTTTTTGTAAGGTTAACGGTATTACTGTATGAATGCATGACATGTATCTCAATATTGGTGTTGAATGCTATCGGAAGACTTTCAAAAATCCCAATACGAATGGCTTACACTATGGACTTGAATTATGTGGTGGCAACTTACGACCCAACAGCAAAACAGGTGGTTTTGAAGGATTCACGAAGTGGTGACGCGCATAACGTCGTCATGGCCACAGAGGAAGTCTCATCGAAGCGCGAGCCGAAACTGCGTCAAACAGTTAAGCAATCACGCGATTGTTCCAAAGCTCTGGAGGCACGGATACGATATCTCACAAGCTTGACGGGTTGAAACGACTGACGTTGGCGAGCAAGTTTTTATTGGAGGCATCAAACGTTAGATCCTCATTCGAGTGACCCAAGATAGTTTCACGTTAAATGGGTAAAAACTGACGAAACGTCTAATTGGTCCGACTGAGGTGTAGTCTTGGAAATATCCCTAGATCTCGAACCTTTGTAGCGTCAAATAATAGCCGTGTACAACTGCTATTGCCAAGTAGTCGTGCCTTTGACTTGTGTTTACGTATCTGTGACGACAACTTTGAATCGCAGTACATATCTGTGCCCGTTGTCCAATAACCCTAGACTATGTTTAAACAATATTTGAGGTCATTTAAACAAATTTGGGGTCACTTTACCATATGTTTACTTGATTTGTTGCTCCCAGCAAAATCCATCATCCCATTTTGCAATATTATTGACGCCAGAGAGACCATGGCGACGACCAAGGACGACCGCTCCGAGAACGATTTCGGGCCCATAGCCACGGCCATTCGAGCTTCCATCGACAGCAATCCCTTCAACCGCCATGAATCCGTGGGCGTGCCGTACTGCTACATGTGCATGGAGGCGACGTGTGAGGTCGACGAAGGGTCTCCTCTGGAACTCATTTCTCCGTGCGTGTGCCGTTCCGTGGTCCATCGCAAGTGCCTCAACCAGTGGCGCGCCACGTCCAACACGCAAAACGCCATGACACACTGCCCGACGTGCAAGGAAGCGTACGAGACCACCGACACACCGCAAGTTGAGGCGCTGAAAGCACCGATCTTCTGGGCTAAGGTGTGGCGGGTGGCCGCG